GGCTTATCACAGGCAGGCCTGGCTCCTCCCACCGAATTAAAGCCAAAGGGAGGAGGAAGCTAGTTCCCCTGCAGGATCCTTAGTGACGTCTCGGGCTCAGTATTTCGCAGGACAACCCCCTAGACCTGGGGGCCCTATGGAGGAGGACGACTCATCTCCTAAGATGCGCTGTAAGGAATCTTAGCGTGAGGTTCAAAATGAGTTTTGAGGATGGAAGAGAACAGTCAGTCGGGGTTTGGAACACGGGAGCGTCAGCTTCCGGGAGGAGGTGCCCGGGGGGAGCCCTCGTGAGCTGCTCAGCCCTGTGTCTACCCGGGGGAAGCCCAGCAGCCACCGAGCACTGAATCCCTGCCTGTGCACACGAGTCCAAAGAAGGAGCTTGTCCCCTTCGAAGGCCTATTTTTCGATTCCACAAGAGAGAAAATGCTCAGCTGTGAGAACAGAGACTGGACACTGTTAGAACAGACTCTGAGTACACACGGCGGGAACACACGCGGAGACTGGGAAGGATGGCTCTGGAATCTGGTGGCAAATGGCAACGGGCCTTCCAGGGGACGAGGAAAGAGATACCGGGGCTGTCACAGCCCACAGGGTGTTCATGGTGCTCAGAGACCAGCACTGGAGTCCGCCCACGGTGTGGAGTCGCCCACGGTGCCATGTCCACCGTGAGAAAACAGGTGCTGAGACCTGCTCCACAGGCGGAAAACCAGCCCTCAGTCTGACGCTGGTGTCACGGAAACAGTCGTCCGCCAGTTGCTCTCTGGAGCCCACGATGCCCGCAAGCGCCCGACTGCAGGCATCTCCGGGGCAGAGAGGAAAGATGCCCTCCACGGACAACGGGGGAGAGCCCGCGAGTTCAGAGAGTCCCCCAGGGCGCGGGGCTCGCACGCTGGTCTCTGCAAGGAGCAGGGACACGCGGGCGGGGGGAGGGGGGAGTGGACGAAAGACTCGAGTGGCCCTTGTTCTCTTCCACGGCAAAAAGTAGTGACATTGCGTTAGAAAAAAAAAAATAGACTGTTGGGTTAGACATATATTTTTTTAACAAATTGAAATCCTGAAGTTTTGAGGAAAGTTGACCTTTTCTTCGGGAAGACGGGATTTTCGGGCTCAGAAACGTTACAGTTGAAAGATGAAGCCGTCAGAGATCGGGAAACTCCGGAGCAAGCCCACAGCAGCGCTCACTCGGACCCGTGACACATGGCACGTATTCCATGGTCCACGCTGCACAACGGGCTGGGGCGGGGGAAGGGCCACGCTGTCGGCACGGCAGAGTAACGGCCGCAGCAGACGGGAGGTTTCGAGGTGCTCCGATCGCTACTCTGAGAATTCACTTTGTTTTCCTTTAAAGATTTTTTTCAGAACAAAAAGCCGTCCCAGTCGAAAACAATCCACGTGTAAAACACTACGCACATCGCTATTCTAGGAACGCGGGAGCTGGTCCCTCTTTTGACAACTCTCTGAAAACCTCATGAACAAATTTTGATTTTCCTCGATTCAAGACCTTAATTTTCTATCTCTGGAACTTAAAAATACTTACATGCTTGTCTTCCAGTACGGCTCCACTTCCTTCCGTGATGGAAACGGCATTCCTGCCAACTTTAAAGTGTATAACTGCAACCATACTTTTTACATGTTTTAAAGCACACAAAAAAATATCACAGCCCCTCAGAGTAATTATGAAAGGAACATTTCTTGGTCTCCGTGATCCTCCCACGCCGCTCTGAAACGCACTGCCACCCAGACACGGATGGGAAGAACGTCTGCCTGAGTCGTGGGCAAACCTCCACGCTGGGAGATGACACGGGGTCTGTCACCTGTCCCCGTGGCCACATACTCCAAACAGTGTCCCCTTCATAACAGAGGGAATGGTGCGTCTCGGAAGCAGATTCCTCTCTGTGCGTGAGTGTGCGTCTGTGTGAGCATGTATCTCTGTGTATCTGTGTGTGTCTGTGTGAGTGTGTGTGTCTGTGTGAGTGTGTGTGTGTGTGTGCCTGTGTGCCTGTGTGTGAGTGTGTGTGTGTGTGCCTGTGTGTGCCTGTGTGTGAGTGTGAGTGTGTACGTATGGCACTTTCTCACTTTTACAGACTAGACCACAGTCCTCAAAAGCATTTCCACAGCACTTCATTAATTTGATCTCCCGACAATCCTGAAAGGTATACGATCAGGGGTTATTTATTATTCCACTCGATAGAGCAGTAAATTGAGCTACAGAAAGGCCAAGCGACTTGGCAACACCCAAAGCTCATCAGGCAAAGTCTGGCAACCGCCGACTCCCGACGGCTGCAGGGGGAAGTCCAGGTGTGAGTTGCGCCTCAGCGTGAAGTGTGCAAAGCGGCTGGACTCCGGAAGCTTCTGAACAAGGCTCCTTTTTTCTCCCCCAGCACCCTAACGGCTCCCACTACCCCGGCTGGAGGAAGGGCCGCCTGGGCTAGAGACTGCGTGCCCACGGGCGCTGCGTTTGAGTTTACATTTGCAGAATTACACGCCTTTGCAAATCTCCTCAGTTAGCGCCACAGCCCTGCAGCTCCTGGGGCAGAAAACCTGGAATTTACTGGGCACAGTCAACCCCGGATCATTTTCCTTTACAAAGAAATAAAAGGGTCATCAAGGAAAAAAGTGTTTCAAGCAGAGTCCGGGGTGAACCTGAACTTGGAGTGCTGGCTACAGAACGTGTTCCAACTTGAATTTCCCCAAACGGATGCTGCCTTGCCCTCCTTGCTCTCCCTGGCTGGGCCCGCGGCGGGCGGCCGGCCGTGCTCCGTTCACCGCGGTGAGGTTTACATCCACCTCTGACCGGCGTTTGTCATCAGTGAAAATCACCGTTCAAGGCAGCCTGGTCTTTCCAACGACTCAAGGGTTTGTTTTTCTTTTACATTCCTCGAGGAAGCAAGGGGGGGAAATGGAGAATGTGCCAACTTAAAATGTTACATGTGTTTCTCTGTATTTTTCAATTATTAGGCAAACTCCTAAAAGACGACATTTCTTCTTTCTTTTTTTCTTGTATTTTTTTTTCCCCCCGAGACTAGAGCTTGCCACAGGCCCCATGGTCGTCACAGACCCTGCTGGAAACCAGGCAGAGGTTCTCAGATCCCCCTCCCAGGACTGGGGCGAGGAGGCATCTCAGGGCCTAGGGGCCTCCCAGGGGTGATCTGCCGGAGGCAATGAGCCGCGCACACGGCGGAGCCGTGGGGGCCGAAGAGGGGGAGCAGGTCTGTGTGGAATGGTCGTGGAGCAAACGCCTCTCTAGAAGTTGGAGTGGACAGTGTGGCAGAAAGACAACTGACCAGAGGAACACACTGCGCACTGTGTTCTGACAACGCCACACACAGGTCACAGAGAGAACAGCGGAGGGACACCATCCACCGCAGGACAGGAGCAGTTGCGCTCGGCTGGTCCGGCCGCTCGACTGCAGCCAAGTTCCCCCGGAGCCAGCGTGCGGCTGGGTCGCCGGCCCTTCCTCCCCAAACGTGCCCATCAGTTCCTGGGGCCAGCGCCTGCTTCTGGTCGCGTGATCTACCTTCTGTGCCTTTTGAGTCAGACTGGAATGAACTGGTTTTACACGTTGTCGTGTTTGGCTTTTCATGTGCCCCTGTTCTTGAACACATGGTTCAGGCACACAGGCCCCTTTATTTTTTTATGTGAAAGAGACTATATTTTATATATGTGAAGTTGGAACCATTTACATGCCAGGACCGAATTTTAGAATCAAAACTCCTTCAGAGAAAACAAAAACTGGTTCCACTCTAGGGCAGGAAAAAGGGGTGAGCTCCGGGTCCTGAAAATGCCACACAGTGAATAACCAGCCCTGAAAACTACGCATAATGTCTACACAGTAATATCTGTGCGTGTAGTGACAGACTATTAGAACACAACAAGCCCTAGCCAGGTAGCTCAGTTGGTCAGAGCGCTGTCTTGATATGTCAAGGTTATGGGTTCAATTCCTGGTCAGGGCACATACGAGAGTAAACCAATGAATGCATAAATGAGTGGAACAACAAATCGATCTCTCTCTCTCTCTCTCTCTCAAAATCAATACATTATTTAAAGAATATAACAAAATACGTGCATGATAAAATAGTAAAATCTATATACGTATTATAGAAAAGAGAATGTTCAACCCCCAAAATTATATCTCAGTTCACAAAGGACAGTTTAAAATTTTTTTTAAATGGCCCTTCCCAGTCAGTGTGGCTCAGTGATTGAGCGTTGACCTTTGCACCAAAAGGGCATGCAGGAGGCGGCCGATCGGTGGTTCTCTCTCATATCAATGTTTCTATTTCTTTCTCCCGCTCCCTTCCTCTCTCTCTTAAGAAAAAAAAAAAATCAATAAAAATATTTTTTAAAAAGATAGGCCTCGCCCTGGCCGGTTTGGCTCAGCGGTTAGAGCGTCAGCCTGCGGTCCTGAGAGACCCGGGTTCGGTTCCCGCTAAGGGCATGTACCTCGGTTGCAGTTTGTCCCCGGCCCTGGTCGGTCGTGCGGGTGGCAGCCACTCGATGTGTCCCTTTCACGTCGATGTTTCTCTCTCTCTCTCTGTTCCTCTCTCTCCCTCCCGCTCTACCTGAACAAAAAACAAAAAAATGTCCTCGGGTAAGGATTAAAAAAAAAAAAAAAAAAGATCGGCCTCTATATTCTAACGTGGGATGTTAAAATACCTGTATCCTGTGAATCATACTTGCTATTTCAAATGTATGTGAGAAATTGTCCCTAAACATATTTTCAGTGTGCATCCGTCACTGCTCATCTCTGAGAGTCCAAGTACAAACTGCAGGAGGTCATCCAAAAACAGTGAGTGTACACGTGACTTCACGTGCTGGCCAACCAACCAAGGAGCCAACGGCGTGACGGGAGCGCGTGGCCCCACGGCCATGAGGCTCACACCTCCAAACCGGTCGGCTCAAGGTTAACCTTGACCCAGAACAACGAGGCTGTAGGGGACATTCCCAGCGTATGCTAGACAGGCCCGCGGGCGGAATGCGCGCGCGGCGAGTCGTTCACCTACTTTGCAAAGCCGATGAAATCTTCGTGGTTGGTGTTGATGTAGGAGACTTGGATGTCGATCAGCAGCAGCACCTGTGAGCCGAACAGAAACACCTGGATGAGACCCACCTTACAGAGTCTCAAACACGGACGTCAGCCACTGCCTGAAAATGACCGTCGTCGGACTTTTCAGGGGTGCTTCCGATGAGAATGAAAAGGTGCAGTCATCCCTTTTTTATGAGACTCATAATTTTTACTCTAAATTTAGGAATTTAAAACCGACATGAAAAGTCTGACTCCCGCAAGAAGACAACTGCATTGCAGTTGCTAGGCATGCAGTCTTGGCCAACTTAACACGGGGCCGGAATTAGTCTCTTCCTCTAAAATGGAGGCACAATGTTCAAAAGAAGGACACGCGTGTAACGAAGGACACGTGGCAAGGCGGCCAGTGAGGGCTGCTCGCGTGTCCTGCCCCCACAGACGCCACACATTGGCCAGGAAACAGCAGCAGTATCCTCTCGAGCTTTCTCTCTCTTCCAGCTCATTACGCCCCCTCTAGGCGAGCAGAAGCATCTCGCTGACCAACGCAAAAAGCCAATATACGAATAAATGAAAGCCTTCTCGAGATCAGTGAGCTTCGTCATCAAAGCCAGACTTCCGTCAGTTCTCTGCTAAAAGAGCACCTCATCCGAGGGTCCCCCGCCCACACTGTCTGCATCAGCTCTCTTCCTACCCTCTGGCCGGCGACCCTATTTTCCTTCATAGCACTAACCACCAGCGGACACGGGAAGGTTTTACAGATCGATTTCCTGGGCCCCGTTGGCTGTCGCCACGCTATGTCCCAAGGCCCAGACCAGCATGCGAATCCAACCAAGACTTCTCAAGGAATGAACTGGGTCCATGTCCCAGTGAGCATGAAGATGGACTCATCGCAGATACTTAAAGAAACTGTGAGTCCGGGGCTGGGGAGGTCCCCCTGGAAAAACCATTCTGCAGTGGAGACCAGCGGTCTTGGAGGGAACAAGGAGAGAGTGACGTGAGCAGACCCTCGAGGGAAGAGCGCTCCATTCCGGAGTTCTTTAAAACTGGGTGCGTCTCCCCGATTCCTCTCTGTCTCCTGGCCGTACCCCGTCTTCCTAGGGCGCGGGGACTGGCTGACGGGGGAAGCGTGGAGGAACCGCTGCCTGGCCACCTCCGGAGCGCTGCGCTTCGACTGTGTCGCATGAACTCTTCGTGACCACGAATGCTCACGTGGTCCCTCCGAAGGTGACCTTGAAGAGAACCGCCACACTGGTGCTGACAGGTGTTAGCGCCATCTGCAGGCTGCTCCCCTGCAGGAACTTCCTCGAGGAAGATTTCTTCTGTGATCCTCACCCCACAACCGCACCCAACACGAGGTTGGGTCATGTTATGCCTCTCATTAGCCCATATGCCCTATTTTACATACGCGCACCCTACCCTGCCTATTTGTGGTGTTTACCATCAACGTAGTGAACACTTGTCTATTCTGTTTGCTGCGTCTGCTTCCCTGAAGGACCGTCAGCATCACGGAGGCAGGGATGACATCTGTCTCGTTCACCACTTGATCCCCAGGACCCAACACAAGATACGCAGTGGGTGTCCCATGAATACTGGGGGCTGTGAGTGTGGCAACCATCTCCCAGCTCTGGACCACAGCTTGTTTCCAAGGGCACAGTTTATTCCCACATAATCAGTACGTGGGCCGTTGTTTCTCACGCACCACCCGATGCTGTGGGCTCCGAGGCTCTGTTTTGGTGGGGAATCTCAATCCATCCTCTCTCCAGATCTTGCTGTGAGTCCCAACGGGACCTTCCAAAATGAATAGACAGATCACCCCAAACCCATCCTCCCCATCCTCACTCTCAAACACAAGTCAAGGCTATGAGGCCAGTAATATCACAGCCGTATGAAAAAGTCCTATCATCAGACACAGCTGTGTTTCTTCTCTTCTTCTTGTAATCCTCACCAGAGGATATTTTTCCATTTACCTTCAGAAAGACTGGGAGGGAGTGAGGGAGGGAGAGGAAGAGAAAGAGAGAAACATCAAAGTGAGAGAGACACATCGATCGGTTGTCTCCCACACAACCCTGATCAGGGCCAGGGACCGAACCTGCAACCAAGGTACGTGCCCTTGACCGGAATCGAACCCAAGACTCTGCAGTCCAAGGGCTGTTGTTCTAACTGCTGAGCCAAACCAGCCAGGGCTGTTTCTTCTCTCAATGAAGAAAGCTACAGAGGTAGGAAGAGTGGTTTTCGCTGGATTATGTGTGGTGGTGCCTCGATCCTCCCTGTCACAAAGCCAGAGTCCACTCAGCGCTAGAGTCCCGGGCCCACGTGGCCAGGAGTGGATCCGAATAAACCGTCACACTGAAGCGCGAGTCCACTGTGACCCACAGAAAGAGCGAAATGTCGACAGGCTCTCCACCCTGCCAAGGGCTGTCAGGAACGTTCTGGAAGCTCGCGCACATGAACTTGGACTGCGGTGTAGGAAAAAAAACACCACGTCTGTTCTCATTCATATTCCTGGAAACTGGGCGTCTGTGCTCATCCTAGGAAGAGAGCCAGGGCACATATGGGGATGAGGAGAAAGAGTCCATTTCTTTCCCGTTGTGTCACTTTCCCGGCCTTTCTCTGCCTTGCCGGCCCCCGGCCCTTGAATGTGGAGCTGAGCGGCAGCAAAGCTGCCCCCAGGAGCAGTCATCGCCCGCGAGGTCGGCCACCTCAAGGCGGGTCTCCTGCTAGGGGGCACCTGAGGTCATCGTGGGCCCCCGCTGACGCGCAGAAGACCCTTGTTTTAGGGAAGAACAGAATATGGGTTTCCATATTTGTAATTCTGAGGAATTTTTCCTCCCACAAAGCTTCCAGAGCAGAAGTTCGTAGCAATTCCATTGTTTTATAAAACAGCCTGGCCGGTGGGACTCGGTGGATTGAGCATCGTCCCAGGGACTGAGACATCCCGGTTCGATTCTTGAGCAGGGCACGTGCCTGGGCTGCGGGCTGGATCCCCAGGACGAGGTGTGCAGGAGGCAGCCTGTCGATGTTTCTCTCTCACATCAATGTTCCTCTCTCTCTCCCTCTTCCCCTCTAAAAAATCAGTAAAAACATATTTTTAAAAAATACTGCAGCCCTGGCCGGTTTGGCTCAACGGTTAGAGCATCCGCCTGCGGTCCGGAGAGACCCGGGTTCGGTTCCCGCTAAGGGCACGTACCTCGGTTGCAGTTTGTCCCCGGCCCTGGTTGGTCGTGCGGGTGGCAGCCACTCAATGTGTCCCTTTCACATCGATGTTTCTCTCTCTCTCTCTTCCTCTCTCTCCCTCTCGCTCTATCTGTGCAAAAAATGGAAAAATGTCCTCGGATGAGGATTAAAAACAAAAAAGAAAAAAGAAAAAATACTGCAAGGTCCCCACAAAACAGTCCCGAGGACACTGGTCGCGGGACCCACGGCTTCCGAAGCAGCCCGTGGCCCGAGGCCGCACAGAGAGCAGAACTCAGGTGTGAGCGCTGTGCCAACGGACCCAAATCGGGCGTGTGTCCGCTCGGCCACACAGGCCGTGCTAGAGCTGCAACCCCAGCTCCCGCAGCCACCCGGGGCGGTCACCTAGGAGGAGACACCTGCCGTCTCGTCTGCCCCTTGGGGTCGGTGGCCAGCACACCGGAGTTGCACGTGGAAGGTAGGCTGCCACCGTGTGCACAGCCCTGTGGGAGAAGCACCTGCAAAGAGCAGCCAGCTGCGGCCACAGCCGGTGACTGCGTCTCGTCCTCACGAAATGCCTGCGAGCTGCCTACCACTGGAGCCCCCGTGGAGATGAGGAACCGAGGTGCGAAGGCGCCGACTGACGTGTTTGTTGACACAGACTGTAAGCGGGAGAGCGGGATTCGAACTCAGACCTTTGGAACCCGGAGCCCACAGTCCTAAGCATGACTCTATGAACATGTACTATAGCAATGATGCTACTTTGCCCTTCACATTGCCTTCCCAGAACAGCTAAGTAGGATATGTGGTCGTTGAAACTTTCTAGAAGAGAGACCCTAAGGTACAAAGTGACCTTATTTACTCAAGGTCAGAAGTACAGCGGAGGCTGAAATTGCGTTTTCTTGGCCAGGCAGCCGCCCTGACAGGAGAGGGGGCATCAGGCCTCAGGCTGCACTCCTGGGCGCGGGCAGGATTCGCCCCTCGGGCCCGGCACGGCTCGGGCTACCCCTGCCCAGGCACCAGGCTGCCGGCCCCGTGCCCGGCTCTCCAGGCCTGTGGAAGTGGGAAGACCAAGAAGAACGGTTCACTCACTTTCAAAGCACAGTGATACAAAGGGTGCAGTGCATCCTCCGCTCAGGCAGATGCTGGGCTCCAGCCCGGCCCTCCGCTGTGTCCCTCACCCCACCCACGCTCTCGCCTCACCCCCGCGTGCACCCTTGGCTCAGCGGGCGTCTCCCCCTGCGGTCTCTCCCTCTCTCTCTTCCATTCTGCCTTCCCCCCTTCCCCGGCTCTCTCTCCTCCTTTCCAGCTCGCCTGCGAGACACAAAACCTTAGAGTCCAGCGTCCAGAGGACTTCGGGGATCGCACAGACCGACCTCTGCTGTGGGACAGGAGAAGCAGCCCCGGAAGTGATCTGACCAGGACAAACTGACTTTGTGGAGGACACACGCCCGAGTGCAGGGTCCCCTCCCTGCCGTGACACCTGCAGCTGTGTCCCGGGATCCCCGTGATAAGGTTTTGTAAGTGACTACAGAAAATCCACCCGCGTTTGCGAAGGCTTCACCTTCGCGGAGCCTCCTCCTTTCCCAGGGCGTTATCTTCGCTGGAAAAGAATCTCTTGGATTCAGCCGGCTGGGATTGGAAGACGACTTCAAGGTCGCTCCTTGCAGACCATGTACTTTTACCAAAGAGCCGGGCACGCTGGAAGGGGCCCTTCGGAAAAGCTTTAGTTTTGCACTGAAAGGCCCCCCTGGGTCAGCTGAAGAACCGCCTTGCCCGCTGCCCTCGGACAAAGGAAATCAGAGCACTGAGCGTTTTGCATAACATTTCAGGAATTTATGACGATCCTGGCCCCCATCTGCGGGCCCATTAAAAGTTGGAAAAAAAAAAAAAAGTCTTAAAGAAAACATGTGCTCCGTTTCTGGATTAGTGGTTTTGCAAGTGGGCTGTGTACATGCTAGGGGTACACTGAGCAAAAACAATGCACCTCCTCTTACTGCACCTTCAACTGCGTCCTTCCGGTCTTCACGCGTGTTTATATTCTTAACATACACAAGATGTGAGTCGAGCAGCACATGTATGAAACCCACAAGGAAGTGAAGATAAACGTTGGTGGCTGTGTCCTCTGCTATTTTTTCCCACTGGGGAGGGCCGACCGGTGGAGACCAGCGCACCTCCTTGGGGACCCCGCCCCTCCCCGCGAGGCCCCGCCCTCCAGCGCCGGCCCCCTCACCTGGTCCTTGGTCTTCCCTTCGCGCTCCCGGATGTGGTTCGCCACGATCCTCTCGGTCTCCTCGCACAGGCGGGGGAAGGTGGCCAGCTGTGGGGCAGGACAGAGCCGAGCGTGAACACCCACCCGTGAGGCCTCGCAGAAAGGAGGCCGAGACGCGCGTGCGATGGGACAGAGATGCCATCTCGGTCCTGGCAGCGGGAGGGGCTGCTCTAAAGGCCGCGGAGTGAGGGACGGGACCTGGGGCACAGACGCGACACCACCGAGCGCTGGCGCCCCATGAAGGACGAGGGTGAAGCAGGCAGGAACGAGCAGGAAAAGAGGAGGGACTGACCGCTGCTCGCCAGGGCTCGGGCAGAGTGCTGAGCGCCTCATGAAATACCTCATTCAAAAATGACGGCAATCAGAAAAGATAAATACTATCATTTAAGCCCATTTTGCAGAGAGGAAAGCAAAGCCCAGAGAGGTTAAGTAACTCGCCCAAGACCAAACAGCTCAAAATCGGTGGGTCCAGGATTCTCACCCAGATCCCCGGACTCCAGAGCCCAGGGTCTGGTCTATCCCTCTTTGATGTCGACCCACCACAGAGATCATTTATTTTTCATTCTCCCTCAATAGGTGAGTGTGTGTGTACTTATTTTTTTGGCAAAACTGCAGAAATAATGCATGTCGACCACGTATCCCATCTAAATTATGCAGGTGATTGTCCAGAGTCTAGTTTGCAAACGTGAGTGAATGAATGATAGTTGTTTTCAATGTGAGGAAGGAAAAGCATGGGGTGTGATGACGATGTGTGAAGAGCCCTGACCTAGAAGGGGACTCAGGGAAGTTGTGTGAGGACAGCTGCGGGACCTGGAGCTTGGCAGGCTCAGGAACGTGTGTGGAGGCAGCGGGGACACGGCAGTGAGTGGGGAAGCCACTGGGGACAGAGACGTGACACGAGTTGTGAAGAAGCCGGAAGTCAATGCAGACAGCTGGGAGGATGGTCTTCAGGCAAAGCCAGGAGGGTAAACAGGTCGGGCAGAACGTCAAGTCTAAATGTCATTTTGAATTGCTGGCTCTCCAACGGGATGCTCCAGTCCCAGTTCTTCACAGTACACAGGGGAACATCCTACTGACACTCTAATGACTCCTGATTAGAGTGTCTGCCACCCACTTGGTTAGCTCCGTGTGCTCAGCCCTTGACTTCGTTCTAAAAGGTACTTGACTCTGACCGCGAATTCATCCCCTCACCTCTTTTCCGCCTCTTACTTAAGGTGCTATCAGTTTCCTCAACGTACATCATTCCCGTTGTTAACCTCTTCGCTCTGGGTGCCGAGTGAGAAGCCTACAGTTGTAAGAGCGTGTTTACAAAGTCATCAAAATGCTAACCACGTGTGCCACCAAAACACTGATCCAGTAGACACCACCTTCAGACCTTCATTCTCCTGTTCAGTATTTAAGTGTGCTGGTAAGTCGATGTACATAGCATCAAGGAATGAAGACTTCACCATTGGCTATGACCGGGTTGTATTTCTAAACTTATTTCCCATCAGTCCGTCACTGACCAGATGTTCGCTGGGCCCCTGCTACAGGCCGACTGTACGCGTGGTTTCTGCCAGAGCACCTGATGCTAGAACCCTGCGTCTCCTTGTCAGGTTGACGATACGTTTCAAATGTAATGCGAACTATATATATATTTTTTTTCTTTCTTTTAAAGAAAAGCAAGAAACACACAAAGAACTAAAGGGCCAAACCAGCTCTGAGAAGGCCTCAGAGGGTTTTCATGCCTAAGTTATGACAACGAGATTTCTAGACCAAGCTGGGCACCTATCAGGCGGTAAATTACATCGAAATAATTTATTATTCAAATTACATGGGATACTCTTAAATAATAAGGAAGAGACGATCAAAAACACAATATATATGACTTTAGGCATCAAAACCTGAAATCTAGAATTCTCAGGAAACATTTTAATGGTACACATTTTGAAAGAAAGCAGCACCATAATTTCTAAAAATATATATAAAAACATGTTTTAATAAAATCCAATGTTTTAAGTGTTATTTAGGGCAATGTTTAATTATTTTGGTGGGACCTCAATATAAAATTTTAACGTGAAGCATGAACAACGTTTTCCCTAGAGGAAAAGAAAAATCACTTGAAAGACATTTCTTTCCAATAAAACAAAAATTACACACTTATTAAATGTATTAACCATTGATTAATCAGATCATGAGAGCCATGTTATCGGGTTTCTCTTGGAACAAGCAGGAGACCAGGCAAAATTTCCATACCTTCAAGAGAACTAGTTCAGTGCCTTAAGGAAAGACTTGGGTCATTATGTAACCATCTGTTCATAGTTCCACAGCACACATCACTGCGAAAATAAACTAAAACCAGAACAAAACGTTTTTTATGCACATGACTTGAGTTGATTGGCTTGGCTGACCCGCAGATATGGGCTCTGTTTTGATCAAAAAGCTATAAACCTTCCAATGTTAACCACTCACTACAAACTGAGCAGCAATAATGATTTTACTGCTCCTAAAAGCATATAATAATTTTATTCCATTTCTGTGAATTAAAACCTGCCCCCCAATCCCTAATAATCCTTCGGTTGTATATAACATAATGTTGCATTTATTTAGGAGATGAAAAAAGGTCCTTACCTGGGCACAACACATTTGTTATAAAAAAAAAAAAATTTTTTTTTAAGGGAAAACAGAAGCATTTACAAAGAGAATCAAAGATGAGAAGTAATTCTAGTATAAAGAGGTGGAGAAATTGCACATAAGTAAATGGGGAAATACTGTATCGAGCGTTCTGTATTTTAGGAGTGGCACGTGGGAAGTCTAGAAGACCCACGTTGATAGAACGGAAAAGGAAGCCAGGTCCCGTTCTGGTGGCCTTGGGTAAAGTGAGCAAAGAGATAAAATACTGCTAGCCCTCCTTCTCCAGGGGGAGGCAACCCTGATCTCTAAGGCTCAAACACGTTGGACGATTGCGGGGAGAATTGAGGTACGAAAGGGGAGCACACGGGTGGTATGTCGGTAGGTGCCCCGCCACAGAGCTCACTACCACTTCTTTAAGCAGAGAAATGAAAACTCATGCTTTCAAAAAACCAACAAGGTCAATCTTGGGTGAAGTAAAGCTACAAAGGCAGTCAGAAGAGACGTAACCTTGCTAATAAGTCAGAAATCACCCAAACGGGAGGTTGGGGTGGAGACGATGCTACAGCAAAAGAACACCTGCAGATAATCATCAGTTTTGCATCTCTTTCAAAGTTTCTCTCTCTGGTAGACATGTTAATGAGCGCTTAAAAAGACAAATCCAAACAGAAAGTAAGCCCTGGCTAGTGTGGCTTAGTGGTTAAGCATCGGCTCATGCACCGACAGGTCTTGGGTTCGATTCCCAGTCAAGGGCACATCTCTGGGTTGCAGGTTTAATTCTTGGCCCTGGTCATGGTGTGTGCAGGAGGCAACCAATCATTGTGTCTCTCTCACACTCCCTTCTCTCTCTTCCCCTCCTTTCCCTCCACTCTCTAAAAATCAGTGGAAAAAATCTCTCTCCTCGGGTGAGGATTAACAGCAACAAACACAGTAAGAGGAGAAGCAGAGGCCAAGGTAAATTATAAATTAAAAATTAATTAGAAAGATCATAACTCCTTTAATGATTTGTGAGATTAAACAATGAGACTGCTGGAATATTATTCAGCCATAGAAAAGAAGAAAATCTTGCCATTTTCAACAACAAGGATGGACCTTGAGGACATGTTAAGTGAAATAAGTCAGACAGAGAAAGACAAATATATGACCTTATTTATACATGGAATCTATAAGTAAAAACAAACAAACAAAAACCAACCTCATCAATAAGAAAACAGATAGGTGTTTATCAGAGGCAGCAAGGGTTGGGTTCGGCAAATGGGTGAAGGGGGTCAAAGGTACAATCTTCCAGTTACAAAATAAATAATTCCTGGGGATGTAATATACACCATGATGACTATAGTTAATACTGTATGGTACATATAAAAGTTGCTAAGAGAGTAGATCCTAAGATTTCTCATCTTAAGAAAAAATATTCTTATAACTGTGCAATGATGAATTTTAACGAGACCTATTGTGGTGATCATTTCGTGATGTATACAAATATTTATGTTACGCATCTCAAACGAATGCCATGCTATCTATCAACCACATCTCAATTTTTAAAAAGGACTTAAAAACAGGCACCACCACCAACAAAAAGGTGACACTCCCATCCCCTGAAAGCCAAATCCCAGGCTTGAATTCCTTATAACAGCCCATAAAAAGTTTGCACTTTAATAATCAGCCTGAGTACCCAGCCCCGGACACGAGGCCTCGCCTGTCCATGGAGCACTACCGCAGTCCGTGCGACGGGGTGGCTACTGGGGGAGGTGACAAGCCCATCTGTTTGTAGAGAAAACCACAGAAGATCAGTCCGGACTCAGAGAAAACCCTGCCCGAGCAGAGCTGTACGGCTCGTCTCCTTCAGCCTCCACTCTCTCGTGGGAAGTCAGCCCGGGGCGGCTTCGGTGCCGGCCGAGTCAACGAGACGTGACTCGTGTATTCTTTCGAGTATTCACTGAGTAGTTGGAAACATGGCTATTTAAGGGGCTGGGAAGAGAGTGATGAGCTTAGGAAACCAAGTCACTACTCTGGTGGAGTTCACAGTCTCAAGTCTCTGCATTGTTCACCACCACCACCACCAAAACGACAAGGGACATAGATTGCATAACTCAAGGGGTCACGTGTGCCACAAAGAAAAACAAAGTTTGGTAAGCAGATGAAGACTGATGTGTGTGTGCACATACAGCTATAAACAGAAGAGTCAGAGAAAGGTTGTGATTGGGTGGCATCTGGGCAGAGACCCGAAAGAAGCAATGGTGTGACCTGTGCAGATATCTCAAGGCAGAGCATTTCCCACACTGGGAATGAGAAGTGCAAAGGCCCTGCGGTCACGTCCCCTGACTTGTTCCAGAAACAAGAAACCCAACGTAGCTGGAGTGGATGGGGGGGGGGGGGGAGAGAGAGTGGAAGTTCACAGATGGAGAGAGGTAAGGTCACAGAGGCCTTGAGAGCCCTGG